TATGCAGTTATCAAGGGTATGTGAAAATGTAATAGCACTTACTCTTGAGGCATTCTGGTAAGGGAATGTATAAACATCAGCAGATGTGAATACTGATGTAATTAGTCCCTTTGCATTTATGTAGCACTTGTAATTCATAGATTTCTCATATCTCTAAATAAACCATTGAAGTGTATTTTGGGGCTTGCATTTAAAAATAATGAAACCCAAACTTGGGCAACTTGGTTAAAAATTTAGATGCAGGCACAAGACCCAGGACTTCCAGTCTTCTTACATGGGGTCTTTTCTCACTGTACATTTAATGTTTGTTTATTTTTACTTTTTAATATTTTTTAAAAAGAAAGATGAGAGGCTTTGTTAGTCCTTTCCTTGTGACTTTGACTAAATTACATGCCTCTCCAAGTGTGATTAGACATGTGACTTTTTTCCCAGGCTTTAAAAGATAGAACAAATTTGGATACTTGTCTGCCCTCTCTCCTTATTTCATTCTGCTCCCCTCTTAGGTCCTGGGTATGCTTAAGAGACTCTTAAATTATTGAAAATTATTCTTTCAATTGAAAAATGCAGATAAAGATAATTTTTTCTGGGAGTGAACAAATTTTAAACATAGTTTCTGATATTTAGAACTTTGGTGGGGGAGGGGTTCAAATTGTTAATTAACCCTTATGGAAAATTAGGTCTCTTTGAGAAGTCTGGATGCAAATATGCTTTAGCTAATTTGGGGGGACCATGAATGCATTCTGAAAATCAGTTTTGTAAAGGATTTGTATGTAGATCTAGGTATGTAACAGTTAAGTACATGTAGCATAGAGTACTAAAAAGAATTGGATACTTCTTTATAAGTCTGGAGTGACTTCTCTGGCAGTCCTATGGTTAGGTCTTTGTCTTCCAATGCAGAGGGTGGGGGTTCTGTCTCTCCATCTTGGAGAGCTAAGATCCCACTCATATGCCTTGTGGTCAAAAAGCCAAAACATTAAAAAAAGCAATATTATAGAAAGATCAATAAAGACTTTAAATATGGTCAACATTAAAAAAAAAAACCTTAAAAAAATCTGGAAAGTACTTAAAAATCACAAAAGATATTTGAAATGTGGTTGTTCAAGCAAGAACTGAGATCTTAGTCAACATACATAGCTAAGAAAGAATATAATTGCTTCATTCAGACTATATTGTTCATTATTTTGAAGTGCAGTACTTACTCCTGACATGGGATGAAACTAAATACTTATCATTAAGACATTAGTATCCCCTTCTTCTATTTGTTTTGTTTTTTTTTGCTATCTAACGTTGAATCGCAGGCAACATGCAGTGAAATTTTTTCTCTTAGCCTGAAAATGTAATCATTTCTTTGGAAAACCAGACTCCGAGTTAGGCAGACCTCCTTCAAAGCAATTTCCAAGGCATCCAGTAGCTGAAGCAGGGCTAACCTCGACTTGCTCTAATTGACAGAAGGAGAGAAACATGTTCCTCTGGCCAGAAAGCCTATGGCAGATTCGGGAACCAGTTTGGCTTCCCTCCCTTTTGTAGGCTTTTTGATGTCAGAGAAGGGAGCCCAGAGCCAAAATCTTAGATGTGGGCTGTAGAGTCAGGATTAATTCTGCGGGCGACCCCCCAAGATTCCCATCAGGAAGGAAGACTGGTGGGCAGTCCCGCCTGCCAGTCCTGAAGAGGTCACGGCCCCTCCAGCTCACTCCGCTCGCTGTGGGTTGCTAAGTGTCTGACTGTCTCGAGCTTGCGCTACTTATCAATGCTCATCTCACCCCCTCTCTTTTCCCTTTCCTACACTTGCTTCCTTTGCTCTATCTGTGTGTCTTTAATGGTAAGACTAAAGAAAGTCTATCCACGTTATAATAAATAAATTTCATATATTTTTTAGTAAACCAAGTTGTTGTATATATTTTTTGGCTGCCTTTGTCCCTCTGTGTCTTGCTTTTGTTTTGAAAAATATCCTCAGCAGTACACACACACACACACACACACACACACACACGCACGCACGCACGCACATATCTTTTTATATCTCTATATACAGCACAGAACTTCAGTGCAAATTTAGTTCTCCTTGCTGTATTTGCAGTTCTCTTCATGTTCCTAATATTTGGTTCTTGTTATCTTGCATTTTTAAAGCTTGCCCCATAACACTTTAAGGTATTTCCTTCATTACCGGAATTTATTTCTTATGTAAGTAGTAAGGAAAGAATCTGGGTTATACGTTCTCTCGGGGGAAAGATTTCTGGCCCCTGAAGCCCTTCTTTCATGTTAAGTTTATCTTCCCTCCTTGATATTTTTAGTAAGGCCAAGTCACTCAAGCCAGAGTGGCTTTAAAGTAACACAGGCCCTCATGTCAATGTGATGTGTGACTCAGGTGTCAGTCATGTTGGCAGAACTGGTTTAGTTTAGACCATCTTCGTTTGCACAGTAGGATTTGAGCTCAGGAATCGCCTAAGATGCTGACATTGAAGACCTGTCACCAAGAGGAGCTGCCAGGGTCTATTTGTCCCTTCAGAATTTGGTATACAAATCACAAGTCAGATCCGTTTCTTAACCACCCACCTTTTGATGACTTTTGTCCAAGAAATATCTGTTTGCTATCTTCTTAGAAGGCATCCTCGCTTAGAGGCCATATGTATGTGGGGATAAGCAAACAAAGACACCTGTGCCTTTTTCTTCTGCCAGCAGATGGCATCCTTATCCTCCCTAACACACAGATTTAGAAGAATCTAAATCTGCTAATTCCCCAATCCTGGTATTTCTCAGTAAAAATATTTAAAATCACATTGTTCAAATTTGAGTTGAATTTACAAGTGAATCTCTTGAAATTGTTTGCTTTGAAATAATTCCTTTATTTTTTTACAAAGAAGCAGAAAGTAAAAATGGCCAAATCATGGAAATACAAGCTCTTACTTTTAGTGGCCTTATTACACTTTGCCTAATGTGCTGTATATAGCAAGGAATTGAAATAGATTTTACAATAGAATGAACTACCAAATATCCTTTAATAGAAACATAAGGAGCAGAAGATATATTGAATCTTCAGATAAAAACAGATATTTACTTTCCAGATAGAAAAAGATGCCTATACATTCCTTTCACTTAAAGGGAATTTTTTCTTTGGGGGTTTTTTGTTTTACTTAAACACGATCCTCTTTCGTAGTGAGGTGTCATGCAGTTAGTAATTTAACAGCACCAAGTGTTCATATGACAACTTGGGTGTTGAATTCAAGACATTATCTGTAAGTCTCAGATTCTTTTCTTACTACTTATTCTGGGGTGTAAGTGTAAGCCACACACTGAGATAAATACAACACTTATATTTTCCATCTTTGTGTAGAACTTCAATTTACCATAAACCATGAGAATTCTATAATTCGTGTGCCGGATATCTTGGGTCTCACTAACCAGACATACATTCTGCCATTTCTAACCTGGGCCTCCGTTTCTGATCCCTCCAGTCGGTTCTAAGACAGACCGAACCACTACACGCTCCATGTTCACCCAGCTCCTCCCAACAGAACCGGGAGCGATTTTTCTCTTTGCACCATGAACTCTCACCGATGGTTATCCATGTGAAGGCAGTGCCTTAGGTTGTAAGACCCAAGGGCTAGCTAGGAAATTTTCCTCCAGTAATGTTTTTCCCCAAATATTTTTGTGATACAAGGTCTTTTTTCCTCTTGTTTCACACTGCATGTAATTAAAAAAAAACCAACTTATTTCAAAATTTGAGGTTTCCAGGAGCCGCAAATCTAGTACAGAGGGTCCTACATTCCCTTCTCTCATCTTCCCTTCACATGCCCATCTTAGCACCCCTGGTCCTTTGATCCAAACTGAGAGAGTAACATTGGTCCAGACCTCTTAGCCAAAGTCTAGACGTTGTTAAGATTTCCCGAGTTTTTCCACTCATGTCCTTTTTCCTCTCCCAGGATCCAATCTAGGAGACCCCATCGCCTTTAATTGTCACATCCCCTTAGTCTCCTCCAATCTGTGACACCTCCTCAGTCTTTCCTTGGCTTTCGTGACACTAGCACTTTTGAATTTCACCACAAAAATGTAAATAAAAGCACACACATTTATAAACACACAGTAGCCTCCTGCCCTCTGAGGTCGTCTCTGTTGTGTCCCTCCTTCCCTGTCTTCCCTTCATCTCTCCCTTTCTCTTCCCACTCCCCTGACTCCAAGAAACATCTTCCTCTCCTGGAAAGCCTGGTGCCCTCCCTGTGCTGATAACCAGATGCTGGGGCGGCCTGAGAACAGGCTCCCTTCAGGTGTCCCCCCAAGCTTCCATTCTGCAGCTGGAAATCCATCTTCACATTTCTGTCCTAGCTTTTTTGGTAATTTACCTTTCATTTCTATGAGCAAGTGAAGGTCCTCTTCAGAGTCTTTATGGACGAAAAGTAATGATCCTTCAGTTTGAATAGTGGTCATAATCTTTACTACTGTTTTGGCCCATAAGATCTCCAAAACACACTCTGGGAACTTGCTCCAAGTTACTGAAATTAGTGAGAACCAATCGATACTTCCAGCATAAAACTGCTCTGCATGATGTCTGTATAATCGCTTTGCATGTGTGTATTTTAATTGTTGTTATTGCCTGGTAATCAAGAAATAACAGAATTCATCTGGGAGGGGGGTTAGATTTTTTTTTTTTTTAATAATTCTTTGCGGGGTGCAACAGTCTTGTTTTTTTAATTCGTCTTCCGAAGTTATTAACTTGTTTCTTTAAATTCAAACGGATACAATGATATGCAGATTCTGGTATATCTCTGCATAGGTAAACTTTTTCTCCCCTCACAGTAAGTAAAACTTCAAGTAAAATTTCACCAGCATAATAGCCTTAACCCCCCTGTAGAACTTCCCTGTGATACTTTCTCCCCTTACATTAATCTAAAGTTAATTGAGTGTTTTTCTCTGACCCTTGTACTCTGACCACTCTCTTGGTTGATTTCTGGAATTTTTTTGAACTCTTTGGTCTTTTAGAGAATCCAAGTTAATAAAAGACGCAGATGAAGAAAAAGCTTCCTTGCAGAAATCCATCAGTTTCACTAGTGCCTTACTCACAGAAAAGGATGCGGAGCTGGAAAAGCTAAGAAATGAGGTAGGGTACCCGCCTCAGGGAGCCTTCCCACGGCCTGCCTGCGCCCGGGCCGAGCCTAAGCCAGCCCATGTGTTTCAGGTCACGGTGCTCAGGGGAGAGAACGCGTCCGCCAAGTCCTTGCATTCAGTTGTTGAGTCTCTAGAGACTGATAAGGTGAAGCTTGAGCTCAAGGTAAAGAACTTGGAGCTTCAACTCAAAGAAAACAAGATGCAGCTCAGCAGCTCCTCAGGTAACGTGACCGCCGCCGCCTCCAGGGAGGAGCTCTTCCCGGGGTAGAGCTGCCCTTGGAAGGAGGCACCTGCGCCGCCCCCCCACCCCCGACGGGGCCCCCGCGCCTGGGCTCTCCCGCGCCTTCATCCAGGGAGACCCCACTCAAGGGGGCGTGCCTGCCTCTCTGCACTTCCGGACCTTCCCGCGGCCCTGAGCATTGGCGGAAATCTTATCTGAGACAGTAGGGCACCGCTGCCATGTCGGGAGCGACCGTGGGTTCTGAGTGCCCTGCCGGGAGGAGAACATGACGGACGTGACAGGCCACCCACCCAGCAGAGGGCCAGCCCGAGAGGGCGCCGCCGTGCCTTAGGGGGCCAGATATGGGACCGGAACTGCAGACGTGTGCTCAGAGGCGCCTCTGGGGATTCCACACCAGAATGAGTTTCTCCCGCTGGCCCTTTCGTTGTAAGAACAAGGAAACAAGATGGGATGGCAATTTTTTAAAATATCCCCCCTCCCCGTTTTTTTTCTTAACATAAGGTAATACTGATACTCAGGCAGAAGAGGACGAAAGAGCCCAGGAGAGTCGGGTAATATGCCTTCCTTTTGATTTGCTTTTTTGTTTAATCCTTTAATCTTTTGACTAGGTAATGTATTCATATGGTCTGAACATTGAACAGTATTAAAAATATATACACGGTAAAAAAAACACAAAAAGTGTCCCTGCAAACAGCATCCCTCTCCTACTCAGTTTCCAACCCCCTAAACAGATAATCAGGGTTGTTACTGTCTTTAATTTTTTTCAGAGATTTTTTTTTTAATGTATATACAAACCAAGACTAATAGTCTTTCCTCTCCTTTGTTACACAAATGGCATATAAACTGATCTCTTATTTTTTACAGGTGTATAGTATTCTGTTATATGGAGATATATATACACACACACACACACACCATAATTTAATCAGTCCTTATTAGTTGACATGACTTTTGGGATGTTTCTGATCTTTTAGATGCATTATAAACAATGCTATAGTGTACTGTCTTGCACAGCTATCATATTATAGCTGTACTGATATTTCTTTAGGATTAATTCCTAGAAGTAGAATTACTCTGTTAAAGGTTCCTTCCTCATCTTTACCTTAAAAAGACAGTTCTTGAAAACTGTTTCCTAAAGCCAAAATTATCAAAAGAGCTTTAACTGTAAAAGTGGGATTACATGGAGGTAAGCTATTCTATTTTTGGAAATGGATGGCATCACGGACTTAATGGACATGAGTTTGAGTAAACTCCGGGAGTTGGTGATGGACAGGGAGGCCTGGCGTACTGCAGTCCATGGGTCGCAAAGAGTTGGACACGACTAAGCGACTGAACCGAACTGATAGCCCAGAAGTAATAAACATGTATTTTCAGTTTTAATTATATATTTTGGACATATTTATCCCATTAAAATTCAGAGGTACAAAAGCCATCTTTCACTTTTAAGTAAAAGAGAAACTCAGTGAGTTGGTGATTTGTTTGTTGTGACATCTCCTTTGAAAGGCATGTAAGAATTCAACCAATAGCCTAACTTTAACCCTGGCTAGCATTGTCTCTGCTTAGTTTATATGTCTAATGAGCACAAAATTAACAATGTTTTCTCTCCCCCTCTTCCTTTCTGCTTCCGTTTGTGTCATCTGCCACTGCCAACACTTTTCTTCCCATCAGCAAATGGTTTGTTTCATGTTTTCCTAATTTGTGAGCATGTATGTGAGTGTGTGTATATGTGTGGCTTCCCACTGTACTTCCATTTTATGGCTTTTTTTTCCCCCTTCCTGATACGATACGTAGCTCCCAACAGGATACAGTCTTACAAAATACAGTTTGAGAAGTGAGATAAGAGTCAGTGGGTCTGCCTTCAATGTCAGAAGGGATATTCTGCAGAGAATAACAAAGCCAGTGATTTCTAGCTTTGTTTTGTAATTGCCCCAGTGGGAGAAAAAGGCCAAATATTTCTTTGAAAAATAACTACTGGATGGGCCAAAAAGTTTGTTCAGATTTTTCATCTTACAGAAAAACCCCAAATGAACTTTATGGCCAACCCAATATGTATGTATGAGTGTACACACACACACATACACATAATATTTTTTTAAATTGTAAAGTAGGATTTTTTTTCCTGATGGGCATTTAGAGAAATGAGACGTTTTCATTATTTGTAGAAGAGAGGAGAAACCATTTTTAAGTTAAAGTGCCCTTGCTTTGAAACGTCGGACAAGAGCATTTCCTCCTGGTGGTCATCTCCTTACCCCACTGCCCCGAGTCTGGGCCCCGGTCCCCTGAACGCTGCCCTCTCAGTGTGTGCCTGCATCAGCTGAAGGGGAGCTTAAGTCTTCTCTTTAAAATCCTTATTTTGGGACTTCCCTGGTAGTCCAGTGGCTAAGACTCCTCTCTTCCATTGCAGGGGGCAAGAGTTCAATCCCTGGTCAGGGAACTAAGATCCCACATGCCATGGTGTGTGGCCAAAAACAGAAAAACCCCAAAACAGCTCCTTCCTTTTTCTCTTAAGACCCACTTACCATTCCACCATAACTAATAAGTGAATGTTAAATTGTGGTCTGAGGAGAATTTTCGTAAGCTTTTTCAAATCTACAGCACGTGAAAGTCCTGGATTGGTTCTACAGTTTAGCTGAACAAGTAACTGGTTGTGTTTTTTGTGCAATTGTGTGTGTGTGTATAAACATTTAAAAAGGGTTGAGTCACGGCTGTTGCTGGCCCCTGTGACTTTAGCACACTCTGCATCCACAGCCTGAGTATAATTGCTGACTTCTTGATGCTCCAGGGTACATATTTCAGGCATTTTACACATTTTTTCCCCCCAAACAAATTAGATTGACTTCCTCAATTCAGTAATAGTAGACCTTCAGAGGAAGAATCAGGACCTCCAGATGAAGGTGGAGATGATGTCAGAAGCAGCCTTGAACGGGGACGGGGATGACCTGAACAATTACGACAGGTATTTCATGTTCAGCGATGCTGGGTGGAACCTTAGTTCCGTCTGAATACGTGTGTGTTTTTAAAGTTAGGTTCTCCAGACAGAGAAGGACAGATGTTGCTTCTATATGGAATCTAAAAAAAAAAAAAAAAAAGGTACAAACTTATTTGCAAAAGAGAAATAGAGTCACAGATGTAGAAAACAGTTTTATGGTCAGCAGGGTGTAAGGGGAGGAGGGATAAATTGGGAGACTGGGATTGCCATATACACACTACTATATATAAAATAGATAACTAATAACGATCTACTGTTACAGCATAGGGAACTCTACTCAATACTCTGTGGTGAACTATATGGGAAAGGATATAAAAAGAGTGGATATATGCATGTATATGGCTGGTTCACTTTACCGTACAGCAGAAGGTTACACAACACTGTAAATCAACTATAATCCAATAAAAACTAAAAGAAAAGGAAAATATACATATAACTGAGTCACTTTGCTATGCAGCAGAAAATTAACGAAACATTATAAATCAACTGTACTTCAATATTTTTTTAAAAAGTTAGGTTCTCCAATAGATTGGAAAAACAATTGCTTTGTGATTATTTGGCCATAAACTGACTTCCACAAATCTGGCAAGAGAGTGGAAATGGTTTGAACTGAAGATTTTAAATGAGGACCCTAGTACTTGTACTTGAGGCTCTGCAGACTGGGCCAGAATCCTTGCTTGTGTTTTATTCATTACAAATGATACTGTCTCTTGAATTTCTTCTGAGGGAGATGAGTTTCTGATCATACACATTGGTAACATTTGCAGCGATGACCAGGAAAAACAGTCCAAGAAGAAACCCCGCCTCTTCTGTGACATATGTGACTGCTTTGATCTGCATGACACAGAGGATTGTCCCACCCAGTCCCAGATGTCTGAGGACCCTCCCCACTCTGCACACCACGGCAGTCGGAGCGAGGAACGCCCATACTGTGAAATCTGCGAGATGTTTGGGCACTGGGCTACCAACTGCAATGATGAGGAGACCTTCTGATGAAGCCTCCCAGCCAGAACTGGGCTGTCTCAGATGTGCTAGCATGTAGGCAACTGACCACCAGCATTTTGCGTGCAGAAAGAACAATAAAGGGGGGTTTTCACCTCTGATTTTTGTCTTCTTGATTTTTAAAAAGTATTCCATTGCACCAGATGCCATTACACTCATCGTCCCTATGAGGGAGACCTCACAGAACGACTCCTACCCTGCCAGTACCTTATTTAAGTTAACTTTAAATTATACCGTTCCTCTTCATATTTGCACTAAAATATTTCCAGGCTGCATTTGTATATTTAGATGTTTGGGTTAAGCTTTGACACTGGAATGAGTTGAAAAAAAAGTATGCCACTTTGCATTTTCATCTACTCATTTATTTTATTTTTAGTCAAAGAAATAGCTGAGTTCTTTGCACTGCCCAACGTCAGTAGTGCCTTTATTTAAGGCTTGATGATACTTTTAGGTGTGATTATAAAATCATGAACCAGGTAAAGGGAGGGGGAAGCCCCCAGACTGCTGTGGGGACGTTTTCTTATAATCTCGATGCTGCACCCACTTTACTGTGGTGTTTTGTTGATCAGTTTTGCATAATTTCAGCTTCTATATATTATATGTATATATTTTTGTAAAATCTATATTTTGGGAAAAAACCTATACAGTATGTCTTTCTTTTCAGATTTTTATCTTTATGAAAAAGGAAACACTTAAAATGTTCATCAGGACCTCACGGGCTAGGCCAGGATCAGCATCACGTGGCTTCGCAGCTGTGTGTTCTCTCTTCATTTTCTTTCTTTATCAGGAATAAGTAACTGGGAGAATTTTCTCCAGATTTTGTTTTTCTTCTCCAACAAATATCTCCAGCAGTCGGTTAATTAGATAATAAGCCACTCTAAGACACCTAAATGAACCAATCTACAATCTTTACAAGTTTTGGTTTTTTTTTACTGTGTTTTTAGATGAATGTACGATGAGAAATTCAACATTAATAGTTTTGGATTTTCTTATCACAAAAAATAAAATGAAGGACCTCAACCACAAGTTTAGCAACCAGTTTGAATCTATTTATCTTCATTTCAATGTCTTTTAGAATATGTAAAAAGTAATAAATAAATGTATCTTCCAGGAGACATGTATAATAAGAACTTCTATAACTGTATATATGCCTTTGATATATTTTCCCCTCCAGATTATCAGCTATGTGTTTGACAAGTGAAAAATGAATATGTAATCAGTTGAAATTTGGGATTATAAACAAACATATCATAATAGGAACTGTCTCACAAACACAAAATGTAAAGCAGTATTAAAATCCAAGCAAACAGGTGTTCTGTATCTACTTTAATAAATGGTTATTCTTTTTTGCTAGTATAGTAGACTGGTATTATTCTCAGGTTTATTTGTCCTAATGGTTTTTCTTTAGATGAGCAAGCACCAGAGATCCAAATATCAATTTCTACTGCAGTCTGTTGAGAAACTGCTTTTAAGAATTATCTCAAAGCATTCTGTGACCCACTCAGCATAAAATAAATACCCAAGGTGGTTATCCATTGCTTTGTCTCACTATTATTACCTGACAGAAATGTAAGTGGCACTGTGCAGTACCAGCTACCTATTAAAGAATGAAGTGTGCAAAGAAACTGTGAAAGCTCCTGTGATATTTACCAAAATGATGACTGAACCAAGCAATCTGGTTTTATGAGCTATGATCCCCGCACAGGTAGATATTTCCAAAGCAGAGATACCAGTTGAACATGACCAGAAAAGTACCCTGACAGTAGTCCGTGACTTCAGCATTGACAGAACTGATGAAAAGACTCAAACTATTAATCTACACTTATTGTGATCATTTCTCTCTCTCTCTCTCTCTCTCTCTCTATATATATATATATATATATGTGTATGTATATATCTCAAATCATGTTGTACACCTAAAATGAATGTTAAATGTCAATTATATCTCAATAAGAAATACATTTTAAAAAGAAAACTTTCTAACACTAAACAAATTATTTTAAAATTAAGTATGTTTGGGACTTCACTGGTTGCCCAGTGGTTGAAGCCCAGTGGTTTAAATTCAGGAGGCACAGTTTCCATCCCTGGTTGGATCTTGATGATGCATGGTGAGTCCGAAAATTTTTGATAGTCAAGTATTTTTGATAGAGTCAAGTTGAGAGTGGATGTAAGTAAATACGTGTAACTGATTATCACCTCCAAATTCCACTCTACTTATTCATATGTGAAAAAAAAAAAGTGAATGTGTTAGTTGCTCAGTGTTGGTTGACGCTTTGTGACCCCTGGAATGTAGCCCACCAGGTGCCTCTGTCCATGGGATTCTCTAGGCAATAATACTGCCGTTCAGTTGCTCAATGGTGTCCAACTCTTTGCAACTGCATGGATGGCAGTACGCCAGGCTTCCCTGTCCATCACTGACTCCCAAAGCTTACTCAAACTCATGTCCGTTGAGTCGGTGATGCCATCCAACCATCTCAACCTCTGTCATCCCCTTCTCCTGCCTTCAATCATTTCCAGCATCAGGGTCTTTTCAAATGAGTCAGTTCTCTGCATGAAGTGGCCAAAGTATTAGGAGTTTCAGCTTCAGCATCCTTCCAGTCCTTCCAGTGAATATTTAGGATGGATTTCCTTTAGGATGGACTGGGTGTGTAGCCGCTATTCCCTTCTCCAGGGGATCTTCCCCACCCAGGGATTGAAACCTCCTCTATTAAGTCTCCTGCATTAGCAAGTGGGTATTTTAGCATTAGCAGCGCCAAGGTAATTGCTTAGTGCATCCTTTCTTTGTAACAGTGTATAGAGGATTGAAGGGAGCCAAGCAAGACCAAAAGTTTTCAAGCCTCATTCAGTTAGGTCGCTCACTTGTGTCCAACTCTGCCACCCCATGGACTACAGCATACCAGGCCTCCCTGTCCATCACCAACTCCTAGAGTTTACTCAAACTCATGTCCATTGAGTCATTGATGCCATCCAACCATCTCATCCTCTGTAGTCCCTGTCTCCCGCCTTCAATCTTTCCCAGCATCAGGGTCTTTTCAAATGAGTCAATTCTTCATATCAAGTGGCCAAAATACTGGAGTTTCAGTTTCAGCATCAGTCCTACTGAATATTCAGGACTGATTTCCTTTAGGATGGACTGGTTGGATTTCCTTGCTGTCCATGGGACTCTCTAGAGTCTTCAACACCACAGTTCAAAAGCATCAATTCTTTGGCGCTCAGCTTTCTTTATAGTCCAACTCTCACATCCATATATGACTACTGAAAAAACTATAGCTTTGACTAGATGGATCTTTGTTGGTAATGTCTCTGCTTTTTGATATGCTGTCTAGGTGGGTCATAGCTTTTCTTCCAAGGAGCAAGAGTCTTTTAATTTCATGGCTGCAGTCACCATCTGCAGTGATTTTAGAGCCTCCCCCCCCCCCGCCCCAAATAAAGTCTGTCACTGTTTCCACTGTTTTCCCATCTATTTGCCATAAAGTGATGGGACCAGATGCCAACGATCTTTGTTTTCTGAATGTTGAGCTTTAAGCCAACTTTTTCACTCTCCTCTTTCACTTTCATCAAGAGGCTCTTTAGTTCTTCACTTTCTGCCTTAAGGGTGGTGTCATCTGCATATCTGAGGTTATTGGTATTTCTCCTGGCAATCTTGATTCCAGTTTGTGGTTCTTCCAGCCCAGCATTTCTCATGATGTACTCTGCATATAAGTTAAATAAGCAGGGTGACAATATACAACCTTGACGTACTCCTTTCCCAATTTGAAACCAGTCTGTTGTTCCATGTCTAGTTCTAACTGTTGCTTCTTGAACTGCATACAGATTTCCCAAGAGGCAGGTCAGCTGGTCTGGTATTCCCATCTCTTGAAGAATTTTCCAGTTTGTTGTGATCCACACAGTCAAAGGCTTTGGTGTAGTCAATAAAGCAGATGTTTTTCTGGAACTCGCTTTTTCTATGCTCCAACGGATGTTGGCAATTTAATCTCTGATTCCTCTGCCTTTTCTAAATCCAGCTTGAACATCTGGAAGTTCACAGTTCACGTACTGTTGAAGCCTGGCTTGGAAAGTTTTGAGCATTACTTTAGTAGCATATGAGATGAGTGCAATTTGTGGTAGTTTGAACATTCTTTGGCATTGCCTTTATTTGAGATTGGAATGAATACTGACCTTTTCCAGTCCTGTGACCACTGCTGAGTTTTCCAAATTTGCTGGCATATTGAGTGCAGCACTTTCACAGCATCATCTTTTAGGATTTGAAATAGCTCAGCTGGAATTCCATCACCTCCACTAGCTTTGTTCTTAGTAATTCTTCATAAGGCCCACTTGACTTCGCATTCCAGAATGTCTGGCTCTAAGTGAGTGATCATACCATCGTGATCATCTGGGTCATGAAGATCTTTTTTGTATAGTTCTGTGTATTCTTGCCACCTCTTCTTAATATATTCTGCTTTTGTTAGATCCATACCATTTCTGTCCTTTCTTGTGCCCATCTTTGTATGAAATGTTCCCTTGGTATCTCTAATTTTCTTGAAGAGATCTCTGGTCTTTCCCATTCTATTGTTTTCCTCTATTTCTTTGCACTGATCACTGAGGAAGGCTTTGTTTTTTATCTCTCCTTGCTATTCTTTGGAACTCTGCATTCAGATGGGTATATCTTTTCTCCTTTGCCTTTCACTTCTCTTCACAGCTATTTGTAAGGCCTCCTCAGACAACCATTTTGCCTTTTTGCATTTCCTTTTCTTGGGGATGGTCTTGATCCCTGCCTCCTGTACAATGTCATGAACCTTCGTCCATAGTTCTTCAGGCACTCTATCAGATCTAATCCCTTGAATCTATTTCTCTTACACTGTATAATCATAAGGGATTTGATTTAGGTCATACCTGAATGGTCTAGTGGTTTTCCCTACTTTCTTCAATTTGTCTGAATTTGGCAATAAGCCTCTTTCACCAGATCCCAAATAGCCAGTTAAACACTCAAAGTATTGAAAAGCATATATCTT